ACACACACACACATCACATCAGTGGCGATGTTTAAAAAAAGACCAGGTTTTCTTTTCATTTTTTAGATTTGCTTGTTTTGGACTTTGTTGTTGATTTTTTTTTTTTAATTATTATTATTTTTTAAAATCTAGTCATGTTCACCTAAATTTTATTTAATGTGCACAGCACCTTTTAGATATTTCTGCTTTTCAGGTTGCACCCAAATATATTGTACCCTGAATGATTTCTATACAGAAGAGACACAGGCATATTTAAGATGACTTGGCTGTTGTACTACGATAAATCATGTCTTCTGAATTATATTGACTACCTGCATTCACATCCAAATGAGAGCATGGAGTGGGTGGCCGAAAACAGATTATTAATCCAGAGCAGCTCTCTTTGGTGCACTTTGTGGAACGATTAATCAATCGGTGTAAGGGGGTGAGTTTATGAAATAAACCATGCCAGTCAGCAAAGTGCTCAAGCAACAGTTTTCAAAATTTAAATTCCCCTCCCATTTATTTTTTTATTCTTTGATGGGTCTTGCTGATCCACTTAAACCTGAGCACTTGTGACCTTACTGTGGCAATAAGTGAATCTGACAACTCCTGACTCAAAGCCGGTTGTTGCGTAACAGCAGATAAACTGCTTCTAGAATATTTGATTTAAACACACACCAACACACACAAGCAGACAGCTGGGCACTGAGGCGACTCGTGGCCCAGTCGGCATCAGTCAGCATCATCTGTTCTATTCTAGCCACTTACTGGACACAGTATACGGACCTTGTTGCGTGGTAAAGATGGATGACTTTCACTGTTTGACATTGACTTTGCACAGTCACAAACATAAACCTGCCAGAGAAAAATGTGCATCTTCTCCAGCTCATAACAATTGGAATTCAAAAAGTGATCGCTGGTGTCTAAAGGAAGTTGCCGAGGGAGTGGAACACAAACACACACCCATGCACACACACTATCATCATTCAGGAGGCAGCTGGCCAGTCCTGAGCTTTAGCGTGTCCTTGTCTCTTCTGTTTGGCATCAGCATGACTGTCAGCATCCTATAAACACACTGGTTATTCACACTTACACACTCAAATGGATTTATATATATATATATTTTACTGTGGCTAACATCGAATAGTTGCAGGTAATTTACTTCGCTGAATGTTTAGATGCAGCCTAACATGGCTTTAGCATTTGAACACATTTTCCTTATAAGGAAACAAATATTTAGCTCTGACTCGGCATAAAGTATCATAAAAAGGCTACCAGAATCTAACGATGCCTGTAGTTCATTACTTTTTTTTAGTGTTGTAACAAATCTGTTTTGGAACTAAGTATAATTATCTTTTTTTTTTAAATAGCTGATTTTTTTCTTACACCTTTTTATTTTCTTAAAAGACTGTATATGTTTTGCATCGTACAAGTATACAAAACCTTTTATATTGTTTATTAAATAATTGGACGGCGAATGGAAAGGGTGCATAAAACAAAATAAAAACGAGAAAGCTGTTAGTCAAATGCTAATTTTAACTGTAATTTGTAACACTGTTACTATTGCTAATACAAGCTAGACAATGTTTTAAGCAGATATATAGCATCGGTAAAATAGAGTCAAAACACAATTCCTTTATTGAGGGAAGGAGGGTTGCACATGTAGAAACTTTTGAAGAAAAACACATGGGAAGCATACAAGGAAAACTAGATAGTTTGATTATGTGCAAATAAAAAATAAAGTTGTAGATAGGCCTGTCGCGATAAACAATAAATCAATTAATCGCATGATGAAAATTATCGATCTCATTTTCATTTATCGGCTTTATCGTTTCTTTGTGTCTCTCGTTCTACTGAAGACACTGGATGACAAAAGGCTCAACTCCGGTGCTCTTCACTGACCCCTCCCTTTCTCTTTGCTCTGTACAATCCATTTTAACCATCCAACATCTCATTTTTGGATTGTTAAAAGCAGCTAAGAAAAATCTCCGTCTTATCAAAGTTATTGTTCTCTGCAAAAAGAAACTGAGAACTTGTTTACTGATTTTTTTTATTCAAAGCTTTGTGTGAAAAATGCTAAACTAAAGAGTCAAACCACACCGAGCGTCTGCCATTTTGAGAACCGAAAAAAAAAAGGAAAGAGACAGCCCATGTCACGTTAAAGAGCCTCCTTCCTATTTTTTTTTTTTTAAGAGTCATGCTGCTCACTCCCTCACTATCCATCCTTCGGTTCAAACAGTCCACCCGGTGGTCATAAAACGGTACTACACTCTAAACAAATTAACCAACATTTCTTCTTAAATTTTACAATAATTACTAATTATTCTCAAATTTCAAACAATATTATCGTTTATTGCAATATTTTCTGAGACAATTAATCACCCAGCAAAATTTGTTACTGTGACAGGCGTAGTTCTAGATTGGATGCAGTCTATTGATTTTTCTAGCTAGACCATTTCTTACATATTACTATTTTATATATTTCTTCTTATTGTGTCTCAGTCACACTAACGACAAGAGTAATTCTGTCATTCTATTAACTTCTGGATGCCATAATCGGACATGTAATTCGTTTCTCAGGAAAGGGGGTTGAACGTTTAGATTTGATTTATTTTTTGAGAAGTAATTTTTAAATGCTCCTTATCCTCTGAGACTACAAGAAAACATCTCCTTCAGTAGGACATTTGCTGGGTTATCCTGCAGTCTTTATTCAAACGGTCGGTGTCTCTGTAATAAAGTTGTGCTCTTACCTCTCAAAATGAAAAGCTTGATGTATTGATCTTCTGACAGTCTGTAGAATATTTCTGATGGAAAAGATGGAAGTTCAGAAATACCAACAAAGTTCAGTCAGGTCATCTGGATGGCTTCTTCTTTTGTGGAGGCATTTCGTCCTTCATCCAAGGGACTTCATCAGTCCGCTGAGCTACAAACAAACTCAGTCCCACAAGCAGCACACTCCCATAGTGGACCAACCGGTTTACTGGTGATAAAATGGTTTCTCAGGCCCGCCCTCTCCCCCGTTTACTCCTCTGAGACCCCTCCCTCTCCCCAGTTTACTCCTCTGAGACAGCCATAGCCAAAGTGGTTCAAAACATCAAAGTTCATGCTCCGTAACCCAGGTAAAAAATCCAACAAAGTTCAGTAAGGTCATCTGGACAACTTCTTTTTTTATTTTTATATTTTTGTTGAGAAGTTTCGTCCTTCATCCAAAGGGTCCAGATGACCTGACTGAACTTTCTTGAATTTTCTACCTGGATTATTGAGCATGAACTTTGACACTTTCTTATGTTCATAAACTTTAAAGAATGTTTAGTGAGGTCAACAATCAAGTGAAGGTTTTTCAAACTTTCACTTTGTCCTGAATATAAAACAGGACATCACTCACCGAGGTCACTCCATGTTGGAAAATAGTTAAATTGCAGGCATTATCGTAACTTAATTTTTTGCATGTTGAAAGGCAAGATATTATGCTGTAGTTTCTGTCTGTCAATACATCCATACGTACTTGATACACAAATGGATCACTAGACTTCTGTAGAGAGTGTTATGTACACTTCATCACCCCATATTCAAGGTCACAGATTAAGGTCAAAGTCAAAACAAGATCTAAGATGAGTTGAGATAAAATTTAATTATCTACCACAATTGCGGCAGAAATTCTCCTTTGATCTTTGCTTTTTTGGATCATAACTTCTGCTCAACTGAATATACTTTAACAAAACTTAATACACATTTTTAGCATCACTACCTGGCGTGTTACATACTCTTTTCATCACCCCAGCTCTTAGATCAAGGACACAAATCAAGATCAAAGGTTATACAAGGATTGCTGTATAAAAGTTTGTCAACAGGTATATAATATGCCGTATGCATTACTGTGTCAGGCAGAGTGTTACAAAAATGTTTTTTATACAGCCCAAAAAGTTGAACAAATTGATGTTAAATACACAATATTTTTTAAATCTCCAGTTAAAACATTAATAATGGCAAATTTATATATTTTAAGACTAACTGGATGCCTATGAATACTTTTACTAGGGAGAAAAACATACACCAGAATGAATTTGATTACCGATAAAAATACATTGGTATTTAATGCATCTGTGTTGATAATACTGTGGCGGATACTCTTCAGTAAGACAACATAATGTCAGATGAATGTGTATGATGCCCACTAAGCATCATTCAGGATGTTGGAAGTGTTTTGTAAATTAACCTAATGCACCTTGCTGCAATTACTGACTTCAGGTTTGTAATGGAAAACTGAATTTGTTTTAGAGATAAAATTAGTTTAGAATTCACAACTAGTTTCTTGACCTTTCCAAACAATTTTCACTTCTTTCTTTTAATTCATATGTTCGTCTCCCTCTGTCTGTTTCTACGTCTCTGTCTCCCTTTCATTCTTCTTCTTCCTGTTCAACCCTAGTTTCTGTAACACCAATTATACTGTGTCAAATCCATGCATGTCACTTTCCAGATCCCTAATAATCCCTTCTCTCTTTCATCTACAAATCCTTTGTTCCTTTCGCCTCCTCCCGTTTCCTTCTCTGTAACCTCGCTTCTTTGGAGCTAGCCGACCCCACCCTTCGTCTGCTCCACGGACGCTCCGCTCATCCTCTTTGTCCTCTTTCCAATTAATTGTATCACAGTACCGCGCCATCTTCTTTTGACTACTTTATTTCAATTTTATAACTTCCCCTAAAACTGTAGCAGTCCTCTTAACAACATGCAAGTAGCAGTGGTAGCTTTAAACTTACAAGATGTTTTTGTGTTAAAGGTGTTCTTGTTTCTATTGCATTACAAATGTTCATGCATAGCAATTTTTACACTTTTTTTGTTATTTTTAAAGGCATTACAGAGCATGACTGATATTGTGAGATTATGTTTCTTGCACTTATATTTAAGTTTTGGCGTTTCT